GGCCCCTGGCCTCGGACAGTGTCGCTGCAGCAGGAGCAGAGCACGGTGTCGTGGTGTCATGGCCGCGATCGTACGGGCCTTGTTCGTGCTGTAAATGAGCGGCTTTGTTCCCGGTCTGGAACCTCCTCGCACACCAAATTCGGTGTTTTAGAAAAAGTTGTTTTTCTTGGTTTTTATTGTAGTAATTCGCGCCCCCTCTCTGGCCGTCCCCTCTCGCCGTGGGCTGTGCTCTCCCCGCCTCCGGCACCGCTTCCAGACGGAGGAGCTCAGTTACCCCATCGCTGACGATTACTGCGAAATGAGGGAGAATTACAGGCCTGGCACTTGTATTTGAATATTATTAGTAATGTAGTGTAATCTGTTAATAACAGTGTCGTGTGCGGCACAGCAGTCCACTGTCCCTCTGTCTGTCCGTAGCTGGAGTCTGAAGTGGCAGCGCTGGGCAGGGAGCAGGGCGGCGGTGAGGCCGTGCCTTCAGCCCGGAGGTCCTGCGCCAGAGTGGTCCTCACCCAAAGCTCCAAGTGCTGCTGTCTGACTGATCATTTGTTTGCAGGAGTGAAAAGCGTTAGTGTCGTTCCCTGCACTTGTAGAAGGCTTCGGTGCTTCATGGGCTCCTGGAGGTCATGGTGATGGGAGGCAGGTAGCTTTTGGTTGCCTTAGGCCTTGGACTCACAAGCCCTTATGTCAGCAGTTTAGTATGAGAGCTCAGCAGCTTGTCATTTTTCTGGCTCTGGCAGCGGAAGATAGAATTTTTCTTTTCTGCTGTATAGTCTCTGCAAGTACTGTGTTCACTTTGAATATGTCATAATTTCAGTTTGAGCTTGAATTGTTTTTTTACTAAGATTTCAAGTGCCTGATTTAATGTCTTCTGAGATAATGTTTGGAGGTAGTCTCCTGTCTCTTTCCTTCCCTGTCATCCAAGCAACACTACAAGAAAATAACCTGCTGCCTTTTAAAGATGCTAGAAGAAAGGTTTTGGTTAAGGCACTTGTACTGTTGTACAAGTGTTTTATGAGATGGAAATAAAAGGAAACTTTTATATTTGATAAAGGAATCAAATCCATTAAATGTAGAGCACAAGGCCCTTGCCAGCCTCTACATCGTTTTCAAATATGGAGAGGGGAGGTGGCAAGTGGAAAACAACTAGACGTTTGTTTCATGGGGGGAAAAATAACTGTAGGCATATGGGTCTGGTGGCTAACAAGAGTTTCTTCATATGTAGAAGAGGATTTGGTTTTAAGATGGTTTCCTCTTTGTCCCTTTTCTATCAGAAAGGGGGGTAGAGCTGTGAAAAAAAGGGGAAAATGACTTTACCGAGGCACAGCTAGTGTTTAATTTTTTGTATCACCTAAACCAATAAAGTAACACACAGGGACTGCTTCCCTGTAATTGATTACACGAGGTTTGATTCTTCCATCTTGACAGAGCCTTTTGCTAGATCCAGACCTTAGTGGCTTTCACGGGAAAACTATCCTGAAAGAGAATTTTATTTTCTTTCCTCACTTTCCCCAGTCCCCACCTAGAAGGACTGGGAGCTCTACTCGCAAAGGGGGTTTTGCAGATTTATACTTTGGGGCTCTTAATATTGCGAAATTTCTCATTTTTAGAGAAAAAGGACAGACATTATGAAATGTGCAAACTTCCACATGAGTTGGGAATGGGTTAATAACTGGTACCTAATCCTTCTCCTCTGCAAGCCCTTTAAAGAAAAGCCAGAAAGGGAGATCTTGGGAAGGCTCTGCATGCTTAAGAGAGAGATTTCGTCTTTACTGAGGGGAAAGGAAACTTTTATCTGTAAGTGGGAAGGGCTGGCAAGAGTTGAGGTGGGATGGAGGGATTTGCATTATTGCTACGTTTGGTACCAGCAATTGGACCAGACTGTTGGCCAAGTGTAGAGGTGGAATAATTAATTTTTTATTATTAGATGAAATAATTTATGATATAGCATTTGAAGATGAAATGTCATAATTCCTTTTAAATATGCTGTATATATTTTTACTCCTTGAGACAATCCAAACTTCCTATCTTCCTACAGTTTGTTGTGCTTTCCTAGCAGAGCTAAAGGAGAACTAGATGTGTCCCAGCTTGGACGTCACTGTGGGCACGTTATGTTGGATGAAGAAGACAAAGCCAGAGTTACAAACTGCCATGCTTGCTAAGGAAGAGGATGTTTCGGAGGCTTCTAACATTTTGAGTATGGTCTTTTTTTCAGGGCTTCTTTATGTGCCATGTGTTTCTAGGAGGTACATGATATATGAAATATTCTTCTACCTTCTGCTGGCTGGAGGGAGAAACAGTTGCTTTTCCGTGCTTAGCACTGCCCGTCTCTCGAGTACTTTGGCACTGGTGATGGCTGTCAGCTACTGTACCTCTTTACTGAGCACAGTACATAAATGCTGCCACTAAGCCTTCCCAATCTGTATCAGAATTAAATAAGTTTTCTGTGGATGAATTTGCAAATAGCTGCTCTAATCTTGTCTAAATCTATTCCTTTTTTCTTCTCTGCTGCTTAGGAAACCTGTGTGCAGTGCAGAAGGGACCGGGTGTTTAAAAGCTATGTTTAAGTTCATGCCAGTTCACATTTCAACACACAATGTCAGTAAACACTTACCTATCTGAGTAACTTTAATAACAAGTGCCTGAAGGATCAGAGCTGTGATATATTATTTCTGAAACTGTAAGTTTTATGAATTATTACCTATATATAGGTTGTGTTCTCCAGAAACTAATCAGCTGGATGCCCCTCTTGGCAAATGGTGGTTTAAGTCTTGCCAAATGCTGAAAGTTGATTTTGTTCAGGTTCTATACATAAATATTAATCTTGTGCTTGTTACACAACAGGTAGCTTCATGTTTCTTAAGCCTTGGTCCTTCAAGCTACTACAGCTAGAGCTTTATCGCCACGTTGGTGGCCATATAGACACAGGGGCACGATGCTGAAATAATAGCTATTACTCCTGATTTACAGGAAGCAGGAACTGGGCATCATGAAAATATCAAAATCAAACAAAAACAGAAAATGCAGGAAACCTCATGGAACCAGAATTCTTTTCTTTTCCTACAAATACAGTTGGAAGTGACTTCTTTTGCTATCAGAGTTTCCATTTATTTAGAAATCGAAGTTCTGTTCTATTTCCCTGATTAGTTAATTTTATAGCACCTTATTCGTCTGGATCTTCTATTGGCCAGCCTTGTGGTGGTGTGTGGAAGGTCATTCACAGGGGAAAATTAATAATTTCTAATGGGCTCAGATGAAATAGATGCACTACAGTTTTTATCCCTTCTGCAGAATGTCTGTTTTTGAAATCAGGAGGCAGGCAAAATTATTGTTTAAGAAATACACTCTCAGTTGGAATACAAAACCTTTTGTTTTGCCTACTATGTTTCTAAACTGCTCCCTTTCTGTTTCCCAGAGAAACCCCGAAGCTTTTGTAGTTTTCTTCTGTCAAGAGTTTTATCCTACTGCTATCTTTAGGTTTTCCACTCTGAAGTTAAAATACCTCATGATAGAAAATTATTTTTCTTTTGGAAGCTTTCTCTTACTGGGCTGTCCAAAGCAGCTAGTATGTAGTACATAAGTAAACTTTTCCATTAAAGCAGACCACTTCTGCAGAAATCTGGCAGTGCTTTCTCTTAACTGTATCTTCCACAAACTGGATAGAAGGTGAAATAGATAGTTGTGCTTTCAGGAGGTTTGTGATGTACCTGTTAAATGCCTATATAAGGCTCTTAAACATTTGTTTAAGTGAAAATCAGTTACATGTTGTCATATGCACAGCCAGCCAAATCACATTGCTTATTCCTATACGTGCTGTGGCTGAGCTACCAAGCTGTTAAAAGCTTGCACACTTTCACCTTGGGGCACCAAGATACAGAATCTCTTAGGCACTTTTAAGCATATTATTTATTTATATTTTAAGATATATATCATAAAAAGAAGGTTTAGGTAGAATATCTTGGGGTTTTTTTCCTGCAAACCTTTTTCCTGCTTTTTTCCCATACTCCACTTTCTTTGGCTATGCCAGTCATATGTTTCACACCTCTTTTCTTTTTCTTTTCATTTGTCCTTTTTGAGATTCTGCTATCTTTTTGTGTGCTCAACATCTGTACCAGAATACAATGCCGCGCTCTCTTACCTGTGGCTAAATTAGCTTGGTGTAGGTAGCATCGCTTTGTCATTAAATTGACAATCATAATTATTAGAGCATAGTGTGGATGTAACTAATTATAAACTGAGATTCCTTCACTTGGTAAGAGTGGCTGGGGA